GCAGTTTTGCATGTTGCGCCCCCGCTCGCGCCCCCGCCGTCCGTCTGCATTCCTTGCCGCACCGATACAGCTGTGCTCGCCGCACCGCTCCCGACATGGCCCGAGCACGGACTGGCACCGGGTCGCCTGGGGACGGTGCCGGCAGAGGGTGTGCTTGGGGCGAGTCGGGTGTTTGAGCAGCTTGGGAACGCGACGAACGCGACGGCCATTGGCTGGGCCGATGGCTCAGCTGCTTTCGATCTCGCGATCTGGATCCACGTGTTTCTTTCTATTCTCTTCTACCCCGGCGCTATGACGCCCGCCCCGCGTCATCCAATCCCCGCACGAGCCTCGATTCTCGCTCCACTACGCCTCCCGTGTGCCCTGGCCAGCCTTGCTATCAGCCAGGACAAGCACACGGCTGCACACCTTGTCTGCAGCATCCTTGGACGCTTCAAACAAAATTTCTGGTCACAACAGCTTCCGACGTCAGCCAGAGTTTGGAAATGCGATGCTCTGCTGTGCATGCCATGCACGCCACCGCGGATATGTCGTATTATACTTACACATACACTATTAGATCCGCGTCTCCGATAAATATACCCCTGTGGGACTCTCGTCTGCCCCGGAGCGCGCCCCTCTCAATCCACCGGCCACCGGCGCAGGTCACCTCTCGCCCTCCTCCTCCTCCTCCTCCCCGATGTTCTTTATCCACGCCCCGACGGCGCCCCTATACCCGAGCGCGACATGATCAGCAAGCAGTGCATGACCCCGACGGCGCGAATCCCGAACGGCACTTACAGGAAGCCTTCGTGCCGCAAAAACAGCGCGCGCTTCGTCCCCTTGCTCCAGAACCTGATAGCGTACGACAGTGTGCTGATCGTCGCCGCATGACCTGCGAGGGCGAACCGGACCCATCAGAATCCCCGGCCACACAAGCTCAAACGCAGGCGCGCGTCGCGTCCCCCACGCACGCACCCGCATGACGTACCGCGAATGAAGTATCCCCCAAAGTATATTCGGTCCAGGTTGTACTTTTCCGCGTTCATGTACCTGCGGCGATCGGTGCAGTCAGCGTGTATCCCCACTAGCAGACCGTCTCGCACAGGGGGCGAAGGACTGCACCCGAGGCACGCTAAAACTCTCCGGCGAACGAAGAGGAACGCGCCCGAACGAGAAATGAAACGCACGCTATCTGGCCAATGTTGTTCGAGATGGCGTACAGCAGGCTCTTGCTGATATCCTCGGGGCTGAACGTACCCCGCTTTCCGCCTTGCTTCTTGAACACCTTGCCGAACGTGCTCGCGATCATGGTCGACTTGAGCCCCAGCTTGCTGTAGTCGGACCCGTAGATGTCGCCCACGAGCATGTCGACGGTCTCGTTGTCGCCTTCTTCCGACAGCGCGAGCATTTCTGTACTCTTGTCAGCCGAACGCCACACATAACGGTACGCGGAATGCACGCACCGTCAAACGTCGTCGCGGGCGTGAGCAAGCTGAGCAGGCCCCAGAGCGTACCGCCGCCCAAGCTCGTCCCGCTCACACGCTCGTACGACCCGTCCTCGTCCACCTTCACGATCGACACGCCCGAGCCGATGTTCACGAGCAAGCACGGCAGCTGCGGCACGGGGTGCTGCACGAACGACACCGCGTACTTGGGCGGGTCCGGGCTCGGCCGCTCGAGCTGGTGCTGGTTCGGGTGCGAGACCGAGTGGATGAGCTCGTCCGAGAAGTAGTACACCTCGTCCGGGATGAGCGTGATGAACTTGAGGCCCTCGATGAGGCACGCCATCTCGTCCTCGCGGTGCACTTCCACCTGCAGCTCCGCGCCGAGCTGCGCGTAGAAGCGGTGCGCGCCCCCGCCCGTCGCGATCACCTTCACGCCGCGGCGCATCTCCTCGAGGGCGACGCCGTTGATCGCGGCCGAGCGCTCGATGAGCGTGCGGATGAACGCGACGCACTCGTCGATGTGCTCCGTCTCGAACCGCTCAAAGTTGAGCGAGCCCCCCGGGAAGTGCTGCACGGACGCGCGCCGGAGGAGCGAGTCGTGCAGGTAGCTCGGGTTCACCGATTCCGGGGAGAGGGAGGCGGTGGCTGTACCGTTTAGAGTGGAGGAGGCCGACGCTGCGGTCGACTCCACGTCGGTACGGCTGGTCGTGCTGTCATGCCGGTGGTTTGGGACGTCGAGATAGCCTCCATGGGAATTACAGTGTTCTAGTACTGCGGGTGTGAGTGCGCCTTTAGGATGGCCGTTGAGCCTGGCCGACGGTGGTGGCGAGGATAGGGGGCTGTCCTTCGGAGGCGAGGAGGACAGAGGGGTAAAAACGTCGCTTGGACTTGATCCTCGTGTCGCAATCTGCGAGGGGGAGGATGGGGGATTCGTCGACCGCGTGAAGTAGATGACCTTCGCGAGCGACCCGCCGATCTGGAAATCGCGACGAATACGCCTGAGCACACATCCCCGTACGACAGGGCCCCGGACTCACGTCGACTGCAATGTGGGACACGGGCTCGATGTAGTTGGGGAAGTAGATGCCGCGGCTGTCGCGCGTCTGGGTGGGCGAGTGCGGGAGCGAGGTGGGTGCCGCGGAGAGGAATCGGGTGCACAAAGGAGCACGGCGCAGATCGCGAGAACCTCAGAAGAGCTCTCACTGACGTGAGCGGGTTGTGCGGACGTACCTCGGGCGACTCCTCGTCCAGTATCATCGCCCCTCTCGTATCGACCTGGATGGTCCGCGCGGTGGGCAGCGACGGTCCTGCTGTGGGCATGGCTCCTATCTGGTGTGGGGTAGGAATCGGTTACGGTCTTCCGGAAAGCGTGTAAAAGGGAAGCGATGAGGGGGGTGAGTTCACGACCACTTCAAGACGTTCACGCGGGGGGTAGTATATGGCGATGAATGTGGTCCTCGATTCCCGAGTAGCCGAAGTGGATGGTATAATATCCGGTTTCGCGAAGCGCGAACTGAGGCGTGAGGCGGGTGTCAGGGTGCAAGCCGCGCTCCTATCCGGCGGACGTGTAAATTTCGCAGGCGTTTGTCGAACGAGCGGACGGTAGAGGGCGGGGATAGGACGTGGAGAGACCGAAAGATGGTACGACTCGGGGAGGACCGAGGGACATGCTCGGGCTGCTGCTGCTCGTTGGGGCACGGTACCCCGCATCCATCGGTGGGACGACTCCGATCGCGCCGCTTCACGCGCGCACGACCTGCCTCCTCTCTCCCATGTCCTCACGCCCACCCACGCGGAACACCTCTTTCCGTTCACCGGCCAATACGCTCCCCTCGATTCCAACCGGCGCGGCAGGCGAGGAGCTGGGGCACAAGTGCCGGCGGCGCGTCGTGGGCAAGCTACGATAGTACGCTCAGATCTAGCAAACGCTCTCAACGTTGCGGTGCCCGGCTCCAGATCTCTCGCGATTATCAAGCGCGTCCTTTCTTGTGTCTCTTCGCGGCCTCTCGGAGCGTTGGGAACTACCGATCTATGAGCCATGTCTACAGTGGACACCGATCCGACCCCCCTCTCCCGAAAACACGCAAGATCCGACGCGAACTGGACATCTGAGTGCCCCACCAAAGACGATGAGTTCTGGTTTGAAGACGGAAACGTTGTCCTGGTTCTAGAGTCCTCCGCGTTTCGTGTACATCGAGGTGTCCTCTCTCGTCATTCAGAGACTTTCCGTAATCTATTCTCCATCCCGCAACCTAAGGACGTGGACGATATCGAAACGTTGGACGAATGCCCAGTCGTGCGCCTTCAAGACTCGTTGCACGACTTCAAACACCTGCTACAGGCCTTTTACGATGGGATGACGTCAGTACTATCTCTTTTCCCTTGCTATCTTCTAGCTTGCTGAGAAATATACGTTGACATCTTGCGTCGACAGAGCACAAATCCCAGCGGAGGCATCAGCTAGGTTCAGCGTGCTTGCCGCCCTCCTACGTCTAAGCCACAAATACGAGATCGAGCACATCATGGAGGCCACGTCGGCGCTGTTAAAGCCCATGTTCCCAAACGATCTGCCCTCGCTGCTCAAACGTTGCACGCTGGGGCGATCCCACACCGTCAAATTCGCACCAGGCCAGGAAATCGAGGCCGTCAACCTGTTCCGCCAGTGCGAACGTCCGGAAATGCTCCTTGTCGCCCTCTACTGGTGCACCGGCCTCGACATCCACGTGCTCCTCCACGGCTACACGCGCGCGGACGGCAGCATCGAGCACTTGTCCACGAGCGACCTTGAACGCTGTTTCGTCGCTCGCGAGAAGCTAGAGCGCCGAAGCGCGAAGTTCAACCGCGAGCAGCTCGACTCTGGCGACTCCCGCCGTCCGACCTGCCGCGGGACGGCGAAGTGCAACTCGGCGCTCCGCTCGTTATGGACGTGCGCAGAGGTGGCCATGCGCGAAGCCCAGCTTCCTGATAGCGAGTCCTCCATGCGGCTGTATTTTGCGAAGGCTATCGGGGACCCCACCAGTCTTTTGATGTTTGGTCTTTGTCGTGAGTGTGTACACTATGTAAAGGGGATGAATGCCGTGTTCGATGAGCAGTTGTGGCGAGACCTACCAGGCATTCTCGATTTAGAGGTCCCCAACTGGCTCCCTGTTATTAATGTTGACCCCGACGCACAATGATTCACCTTCTCCACCTCGAGCCTACTCTAGGAATACGTTCATGCTCGCAATCTACTTGGTTTTGCTTCATTCATCGATATCATAATATCTTGCCGACCTGTGTCCGCACTGAGGATTTATGAAGTCCGGATAACCTGTGATGTACGTATGTTGAAAGTGTAGATATATACATACACACGCTGTCAGTGCATATTGGTGGTTGCAAACCGATATCAAGTTCCCCAATAAGAAACGAGGATATCATCGTAATCCGGTAGTCCATGGTAGAGAGTTTTTTATTGCTCTCGATAGAGGCCATGCGAGGAATAGAACATGTGTGCCCCATCCAACGTATCCCCAAGCTCGAGACTAGATATCTATAGCCTGCGCTGGGGAGGTATGGTACGACATCCAAAAGTGAACCCTGCCCGGATCGAACGGACGACCTTGAGGATTTCCCTTGAACGGAAAGACCCGCTAGCTGGAATCTCACGCGCTACCACTGTGCCAAGGGTTCATGATCATAACTGCAAATTTTAGCATATCAGCACACGTAGGCTACTGGGGAGCGCCATTAGCCACTCAGCTGCCATTGGCGGCGTCGTACCGTCTGCCGCAGTGGTCATTGAGCACATCTCGTAGCCTGTACTAGCTAGGTTAATCGCCCTCAAAACGAACAGTCGGTATATTTCATTCGCAAGGGCGAAGCATCTATGGATGTCGAGCCTACACCGCTTTACATTGAAGACAACGGCTTCTGGTTCCCGGATCCGGGATGGCAACGTCGTAGTTCTAACTCTTCAAAGTTCGCAAGGCAACGTTAACAAAGTATCTCGGAAGTCTTCGCGTCCATAAGTTTGCTATCTCGGCATTCGGCTGTGTTCGGCGATTTACTCGCCATACCTCTTCTTACTCCTATACGTCCAGAGGCTGGTGGCACCATTGAGCAGCCTAGCACGTAACCGATTCAGCTCACAACTTCAAGCATTTGCTCAGATGGGTCCAGGTGAGCCTTACCCTGCCCCTGGTATAGTATCATCCGAGACAATGCTAGAATTATACCTTTAACTAAGAGCATGCACCTCTAGGTACCTCAATCCCAAGCCTGGTCCGCTACCTTTTAACAATGTGGCCTTGCTCGCCCGTGTGGGACACAAATATAATATTCCTGATATCTTTGCACCGGCCATCCATTAGCTGAAGGTCTGGTTTCCGACAAGTTTGTCGAATGGAAGTCGATCAAGGTCTATAATCCTGGGCTGAACACGCCGCGCTGAACCAATGCCATAGAGGCCGTGAACCTCATCCGCACCGTTGAACGTCCGGAGATGTTCCCAACGGCTCTCTACCTGTGTTCCCAGCTCGAGACCTCGGAATTGCTAATGTGGCTCGCACGGGCGGATGGGACGTTGGAGAAGCTATCAATGGCATGGCGGACGTCCTTGAAACGATTGCGCTATCCCCTCGGCATCTTCTTGGCTCTGTGTGTCGGCGGCGGGTTGGTCGTTTCACAGGCGTCGCCGATGTGTCCGTCCTATAAAACGTACTTCCGGCACAAGAACTCGGATTTCCGTCGCCAGGGGTGGATCAACCTGCTCTTTGACATTGTCCTTCCAAACTGGCTGCCCCCCCCAAACATGATGCAGGTGATGTTCCACCTCGGTGATTCCGTCGCTTTGCTTACACTAGTCGGAAGACCTGTGCTTCAAGTCGTTTCCCAGATAGACTTATGTGGTTGCGTTCAATATTTGGTTACGCTGAGACCAGAGCTACATGGTACTTGGGTTCCTATACCCCGTACGAGTAGCTTGCGGACCTGTAACTATCTCTTCTTCAATCATGGGATACGTTGATCCCGACTCGGAATTGTATTAATCATTATTCAACGCTCCCTTTAAGTCATTGTGGTCAGTGTCTTGATGTAAGCTTGTGATAGAGCCTGAAGACTCGATGAAGCACTTTTTTCCCATGAAGTTATCTGTGCGTGCGTGCGCAAACTGAATACTCGGGTTTGCGGTACATTCAGCGACAGTAGTCACAGGTCCTGACAGAGCGAACGCAAAAAGTGAACCCTGCCCGGATCGAACGGACGACCTTGAGGATTTCCCTTGAGCGGATTGCTCCGCCTGCTGGAATCTCACGCGCTACCACTGTGCCAAGGGTTCTTGATGGCCATAGCTTTTGTAAATGATTATACCTATTGGGGAAATGGTAGCACTCTAACGTACATCAGCGGCGTACTGCACACGTCGACTCTACATGGTGTTATACATAGCTATTTTGCTCCGAATGCTCTGGAGAAAATATACTGATAATACAAATAACCACTAGGATGCAGGTAGTCAGCGGATCACTGGGAGAGCGACGATAAAGAACGGCATTACGTGTCCAGAACATGGTGGGGGCCAATAAAGATATCGCGTAAATAGCGTGTATCCGAGACGCACCAGCTAGAAAGGATTATCAGACACCTCGTCGCCCCAGAAGTTGGTCTACGCACCCTGGCCAGCAGACTCATGCCCACAACGTGAGCCTCGAAAAATCAACACCGCCTCGCCCGTTGGGGTGGGCCACAAACAGCGCCCCGAGGCGCGTGGCTAAGTATCATGTTCGTCAGCCCACAACGCACCCACCCCGAGAAAACAGACCGCAACTTACCGTCCTGCACACCCGACTCCTCGCACGGCACCGCCTCGAGGCCCGCGGCCCTTAGCGCGGTCATAACCTGCCCATACGTCCCGCGGAAGAGCGACCCAGGCATACCGTCGCGCTCGACGTCCTCTGAGCGAATGCTGCTCACAGACGTGCGGCAGAGCCCCACGGACGCGCTGTCCATAGGGTCCGCACACTCCGCCCCGGGCGAGGCGTCCATGCCCGCGGCGAGTACGGCCCGAGCTATGCGGTACTTCATGCGAGCAAGCCGGCTCACGGACAACTTGCGCGGTGGCTGCAAAAGTTGCGACGCGAAGCGGATGTACAACCCGTTGCCCTCCGGGTACGCTGGCTCCAGCTTGTCTTTGGGCACGGGCGGGGGCGGGGGGCCGGTGAGGGTCTCCGAGGACGCTGTCGGTGCGAGCGTCCATTTCGAGTCAAGCGTGGTCCGACTCGGGGTGGGGCGCAGGCTGAGCGAAGGTCGGGATTCCGATGCGTCTCGCCGTGAGGCGAGCGAGCGCATGGACATGGATGTGCGAGAACTTGACCGGGAGAGGGAGCGGAAGGTGACGTTGGCGAACTCAACGACATAGGGGATTCCGAGGGCGTTGAAACGGATCTCAGGGGCCATCGTTGGCGTAGAGAGTTTCTTCCAGAACCGAGCCAGAGTGCGGGGTGATTGGGATAATGCGATAGATCGTCAGAGGCCCGCGAAGATGTATGAGAGAACTTTATGTACGGGGGCAGCGGGCCTTGTGGTATGCACGTTCGTGTCGAGATGCGCAGGATACTCTCTCCACCGCCTACACGCTTTGAGGGCGGTTTCCAGAAGATCGACGGTTAGGACTGTAGGCGAGCCATGAGACATGCTAGAGCAGTGCTATGCACGAGAAGGGAAATCGACAAGCCGGCGTCTGTAGAAATAGGTGGACTTCATGTGGCAGAAAGATGCTCGAGACCTGCGGCGAGGTGCAGGGACGAGGTCCGGAAACCGTATGTCCCACAGAAAAGTCAAAGGGGGATCCCAGTAGGCCGTATACCGACGTGGAGAAAGCCGGAGGAAGCAGGCCCAGGTGTCAGCTGCTGAACCAAAAAGCGTGCTGGTGCTGTTTCTCCACGCGACTTGAGGGCTACGTCAGCTATACCGGATACACGAGGACGAAATTTGAGTGGGATTGTGCCGAAGACACAGAGTTCTTCCAAACAATGCGGCAGCAATGTGTATCCTTCCACTCCGCCACAGACAAGTACGGAGGGAAGGGACAATCTGAAGACGCTGCCACCGTAGCCATACCCTCGGTCAAGCGGTCATAATTGGGGGTATAGCTGCTCACCTCTGTCCACGATCGAGACACATAGACTGGAACGCAGGTGAGTCGGGTGTAAAGCGTGAGGTACATGCGGTGCGGGATAGAGGTGCAAAGGCCGGCTGAGCGCTCAGGCAGACAGAACGAAGGCTGCGGCCCGTTGAGCCGGTGCCTTTAATCCCTGTGTGTAGTGCGCAAATTGTGGCTGGGACTCTCTTCCGGTGCGAGACACTGTGAGCTTGTTCGCCACTCAGGCCACCTCGACCTTGACCGTGCGCTGCCTTATTCCCTTCGTGCGCAAACCTTCGACTCGTGACTCACATGCACAGACGGACGGTGAAGAAACGACGCAATACTAGTTGTCCTCGTGCGCCGATGAGGGCCCGTGAACGGTGACTGGGACCGGCCACATTGCCTGCGCGCACCAACGCAGTTGTAAACGATTCATTTCGGCACAACGCCCGCAATGCGGACGACATGCTCAACGAGCATAGTAGCCTACCCCCAGTATTCGTACAGCGTCGAACGTGTAAGAAAACTTCTCCAAGCGTCCTGCAGATACATACCGCCCGCCTCGGCTTCTGACAGTCCGGCTGCTCGTGGTACAGCGTCCCGCTATAACTTTCCGCCTGGGAACGCCCAAAGGCGCGGGCCCCAATCATGTCTGCCCCCTCCGCACGGACTCCTCTCGACTCCGGCGTTGGCTCGGCGCTCCCAGGGAGATGATCTGGTCGATGAGCGACGGCCGCCGCTGCTTGCGGAGGGATGGCCTCGGGGACTGCGGGGCCTCGTTCGTACATAGGCCGCGGCGCGACAAAGACCGGCCTCTGCTCACCTGCTTCTCTTCTGCTTCTGCACGGCGGGGCGACACCACCTCGAGCGGTACGGGGTACCCGGAGCCTGGTGGGCTCTGGGGGAAGGGTAGGCTGGCGCGTCGTGAACGCGCGTCGTAGCGGGGTCGGGGCGGTAGGGTCGAGGAACCCTGCATCGCGTATGGACTAATCATGGAAGGCATTACTGGCGACTTTTGGTAGCTCTCTTCCGAGGACGAGGTAGTACGGTATGAGGACGATGTCTGGATGGATGCCCGGGTGGGGGAGGGCGGTCGTGGGTGCTCGTAAGCCTGGTTTGCCTGCGCCCGGACCCAGAGGGCGGTGCGTTCATGAGGGGAGAGCTCTGCGGGGCTTGTGCTTCGAGGCATGGCAGTAGCGTGGCGGGTACGTATTCGAGAACGAGAGCAAGAGCAGGGATGGGTGCACGGTGTTCACGGGGTGCGGGCGAGCAGGCCGAGGGGTCTTATAACTCTCGCGCATCCGGTCATCTTCACGAATCGGGCAACGTCCAAGGAATGGGGTAACTTCGCAACGCGCCGTGCCGCCGCGCGCACGGGCGGCAGCAGTACATGTGTCCTGGGACGCGCCGCAATCGTTTTGGAGCAAGTGGGAACTGTGTTGCTAGGCGAGAGTCCGCTCGATATGGCTCCATCTTCTCTTGGCTCGTTTGCCACAGCACCGACGACCTCGAATTCGACAGCGCCTGTGGAAGATGTCGCTGGACG